CAAACAGTGGGAAATAGAAATACCATTCGACCCAGCAATTCCACTACTGGAAATATACCCTAAAGAAACCAGAACTGCCATCCAAGCAGATATATGCATACTCATGTTTATTGCTGCTTTGCTCACAATAGAAAAGAATTGGAAACAACCCAACTGCCCACCAACAAATGAATAGAGAAGCTGTGGTATATTCACACAATAGAATAGTATGCAGCACTGAAAAACAAAGAACTCATGAAATATTATACAAAATAGGTAACAATGGAGGACATTATGTTGACTGAAGTTTCTCAGTCACAAAAAGACAAATACTGCATAATGCTAGTGTTATAAAACAGGACTGACAGAGGGGTTGGGGGAAACTAAGAAAAGAGGGGCTCAATAAAGTACACAGCATTGACAAAAGACGGGAGAGACAACTATATAAAAGGAATATATGATTAGGTATTATTGGCATGACAAGAGTCCAGAGTAAGAGCGGCATAGAAAAGTGGTGGTGGTGATGGGGATGACTGTAAAACAATGAAAGAACCATTTTTCCAAAGAAAAAATGTGAACTGGGTGGGGAGGCGGGCAGGGAGGAAAATGTGCAACAATGAATGAATGGAAATCCAAGTTCTTTTATAAACTTTCATTAAATTATCAATTTAAAAAATTAGTTTAGACTAAATAAAAGGCAGATCTTTTAAATGGCAAAAGGAGACTGAAAAAATTCACTAGTGTACAGTGCCTTGTTTAAACAAATAAATCTAACAGAAGCTTAAGGAACTCCACCCAATTCTGGCTACTATTAAAGGAGACTTGATCCTACTCTGCCAGAATATATGTCTTATTATTTAACCAGGCGCTGGCAGAACCCATTTTCAGGCAGAGCACTCTGGACAACTGAATCTTCATTCTGACCACATGCCTCAAGTGAGACCTATCCAGTGAGAGTGGTCTGAAAAGAGGTAAACAGGCAAGAGGACACCAAACGTCATGACAATGAATGATACACCACAGAAGAGAATCTTGTTTCCTGATTACCCTCTTGGTATTGATAACTATGTGCTCATAAACAGAAAATAAAAATATTCCCAGAGGAACACGGTTCGAATCCACCAGACGCTCTGCCGGAGAAGGAGGCGCAATATCCTCCTGTACCAGTCAGATCTGATTTGACGGTACACGTACACAAAATT